TTCCATGCATTTAGAATATGCAATTCATATTTTAACCCATGGGCATAGATCTCTCTTTCAAACTTTTATTGAACAAAAATACAGTAAAAATCTATATATGTATAAAAAAATGTAAATACTCATTTACAATATGCCTCGCATTTTACTCTCTATTTCACGTTAGATTTGACTAGTAACATTTGACAATTCTGGAGTGGGATCTGAAAGAAAGAAAATAGTAAAATAGGACTTCTCGTCCAAAGTATCCTTGCTGCGGCGCTTGGGGCTCCTACCCTCCTAGCCGCAGTTCTTGGCCCGCTAGCCTAGATCATAACCTCAGTGTTCGGCCTACAAATTGTCATAACCTAACTATGAAATAATTAAATTTTGTATTAAACTAACCCTGAATGAAAGAACATAAACTAGTAATTTCATGTTGAATATTAAAAGATATTTTATTTGTAAATTCATATAATCTTCAATTTTGGGGGGGGGGTGCAAAAATCGTAAGCTTGTTCTTCTTTAAATAAATTTGCTAAATTATGTTCATACTTACTTATATAGGTAAATTCGGATGAGTTAGCGGATATTACAGGGGTGTATAATTTTTAGAATACCCCCCTTTCATCATTTTTGTTATTTTCCCACTATAAAATCTAGTTTTTCCCACTTGAGCGAAGAACTTCCTAAAACAAATTATTGACGCTCCGCGCAAACATATTCATTTTCTGGGGAAAAAATAATTTTCAAAAAGGGGAAAGGATTTTTCAAGAAAGTATACACCTCTATAGGGTATTATGAGAAATAGATTTTTTGAACTTGGAGTAATTTTTTTTACAATTAGGGCTTGGTCATGGCATTCATAAAGAGTTCTCCAACTTTAGTGGTTCTACAGACTTAACATTACATCAGTTGAAAGGTAAAAAAATAAAAATCAATGTCAACCTTTACAAAATAATCTCACAGGGATTAAATTTCCGAGGTCAAAATAGACATTGGAGCATTCTGACCGGCGCGCTAGTTTATTGTAAAAAAGTCGTATTTTTCACAAAAAGCGCGCGCACTTTTGCTCATTTCCGTTCAAAACCAAAAAAAAAATGCATGTAATATGCATAATTTTAAGCTCGCATGCATAAAGTCAGCTTCCTACACCATGTAAATCTGTGCTAAGATGACCCATAATGAAACTGCTGACTACTAGCGCGCCGGTGAGAATGCTCTAATATTATTTTGACTCCAGAAATGAATTACTCGTGCCCAATTACCTATAAATCGACATACAACATGTAAAATCTGTGCTAATTGATGACCCATAATGTATAACTGCTGGCTACTAGCGCGCCGGTCAGAATGCTCCAATATTTATGTTGACCTCAGAAATGAATTCCTCGTGCCCAATTACCTATAAATCGACATAACATGTAAATTCTGGGGTAATATGACCCATCATGTAATATGCCGGCTATTTTGACCTCGGAAATGAATTCCTTGTACCAATAATTTGATATATCTCATTCTACTTTTATTCTTACTTCGGTCAAACTTAGCAAATAAGTATTCAAAGATATTTCTTATTATTGCGCGCTCGCGCGGACATTTAAGGCTTTGGAGGTGAACTTTTTGAGCGCCTATTTTTTTCAAGAGTATCAGGGTAAATGTACAAGTGTACAATTTGGATTGTCTGGGTGTTTGTTTTGTTTGAATCATGGTGTCTGTTTGTTTGTATGTTTGTATCCAATAAACGTCAAAACGGCTGAACCGATCGGGCCCAAATTGTGTGTAGGACATCACTTGACCCCAGGGAAGGTTTATGAATGATCAAAATTTAAAAAAATCGTGTTTAAATTTTTTTTATTTTTGTAAAAAATCCACGATTTTTTTTCCTTGTTTTAAAATGTACACAAAGAGAACATGTTCACAATTTAAATAGAAGATGGGCGCGAAGCGCCCGTAAAGCCTTGTTTAAAATAAGTAAATGAACTTGAGTCACTTTGAATATAGGGTATGGATGGATTCTTTTAAAAGGCGCGTATACAGGGGGACAGTAGTTATCTCCTTCCTCCCCTCGGGGTTTACGGGAAAAAGTTAAAATCAGGTAAAAAAATGTAAGCAATTAGCTTACCCCCTTCGTCGCACATCTCGCAAAATCTAGCTTCCCACCCCCCCGGCTAGAATCTTTTATACGCGTTTTGTATGGAAAAGTCTGAGTTGGTTTTATTTGAAAAAGGTGTTAATGTCCAAATACAAAATGTATTTTTTTTAGTTAAGTATAAGAACACAACTAAAAGAAAAAGAATGGCAATTGCATACAAGAGGTAAAAAAATAATAATTTTCAAATCGAAAGAACTGAACACTTGCCACAAATTCTAATTTTAAAATCTCTGTTGAAAAATTTGAATTCTGATAATGATAGGTTTACATTACCAGGTAGCAAAGAAGGGCAATAACAGATTCACATATGTACCCTTTAAATCCATAATCAAAAATGTGAAAGATATATTTGTTTTTCTAGGTTTAAAAATGTTCAATTATGATAAGTTTTATTTGTATTGTCATGCAGCAGAAATTGCATGACACTTTTGAAGAGAAGTTCAAAATTCAAATTATTAACTTTGAAATCTAATTAATACTTTATTGATCAGACAAAGCTTTTAAAGGTCATGTTGTGAATTTGGCATTGCTATCTTTGCATGGAGAGTTACTTGAATTTTTTTCATGTATTAATCCTAATTTCAGATCATGCAGTCAAACTGGAGGAGGGAGAGGAGATATATGTCCTCCTGAACTGGACCCGGATGAGTCCTCTGACATTGATCCGGCTTTGGAGCCTAACCACGGTTTCCTTGATTTAGGGGTATGCATTTTGTACATGNCTCTGCAAACTCTGGTAAAATCTCCACCTCTACAAGCTCCGTAAACTTATTACATAGATTTGCCGAAGCAAACTCTGTGTCACTAAGATTGGCATCTACAAGATCTGTTCCGATATTCACCTCTGCAAGCTCCGTAAACTTTTTACATAGGTTTGCTGCTACAAACTCGGTTTCGCCAAGAGTTTCCTCCGCAAGCTCTGTTCCTTTATCCACCTCTGCAAGCTCAGTGACCTTATTTATCTAGATTTGTCTCACAAACTTTGCGCCTACATACATTCCTTCAAGTTCTTCGAATTCTAGAGATATTACAAATCATAATTATTAACTTAAGAAAACATGTTCTAAAACTTTGTACCAACGGATTATTATTCAGCATTTTTCAAGATAATATTTTCACAGATGTTTATTGTTTACAGTGTTTTCCAAATATTAACACGTCACAGTTAATTTAGAACTGATCTGTTCCTAAAATTAAGTACAAAGCATATAATTTTGTTCATACTGCTGCAGGTTTCACATGTTATTGTTCAGTATTTTTCAAGATAATATTTTTTTGATATTATAAAACTAAAGCTTACGAAAGCATATAATTTTGTTTTAATTGTTTTGTATAAATATGAATTTTAAAAAAATATTTTAAATTGAATTTTGCTTTTATCCGTTCCATTTTACTTTCTTCTAAATTTCCTTCCTTTTATTTCCTTTTCTGTTCAGTTTTCTAACATTTATTGTATTGTTTTTGTATTTTTTCCTTCTTTTTCTGTATAGGATACAGGATACAGGATACAGGATACAGAATACAGAATACAGAATACAGGATACAGGATACAGGATACAGGATACAGGATACCAGGATACCAGGATAACAGAATACAGGATACAGGGTACAGGATACAGGATACAGGATACAAGATACAAGATATAGGACACAGGATACAAGGTACTGGATACATGATACTGGATATATGATACTGGATACAGGATACTGGATACAGGATACTAGATACAGGATACAGGATACAAGATACGGGATACAGGATACAGGATACAGGATATAGGACACAGGATACAAGATACTGGATACATGACACTGGATATATGATATTGGATACAGGATATTGGATACAGGATACTGGATATAGGATACTGGATACAGGATACTGAATACAGTATACAGGATACAGGATACAAAATACAAGATAAAGATACAGTACATGGGATACTTGATATAGGATACAGGATACAGGATACAGGATACAGGATACTGGATACTGGATACTGGATACTGGATACTGGATACTGGATATAGGATACTGGATACAGGATACTGGACACAGGATACAAGATACAGGATACAGGATACTGGATACAGAACACTGGATACTTATTTCTTTTTCAGTTTTTTTCCTTTTCAGTTTTTTCTTTTTTTTCTTCATCTATTTAAAAAAAATGATCTGTTCCTAAAGTTAAGTACAAAAAACATATAATTTTGTTAGAATTGCTTTGTAAAAATATAAAACATTTTCAGTTTGGTTAATTTGCAAATAGTTTCGATATGAATCATTTCATCTTGTATTGTAACAAATTAAATATGAACCCAATACAATTTATAAAATCCAAATAAACATTTCAACATAATTTTTTTAACGTTAGTGATCGTTTTGATCAAACTTGCTTTTTATTTACAAACCTTTATTTCA